TAGTTGTTCGATACATAGGACTGCATCTATCTCCCGACCCGTTCTGTGGATTGTGACACGTCGCTTTGCCAGGGCAAGTTTTAACGCTTCAAGTTGTTTGCTCTCTAAGAAATTTGTGTTTCGGTGTGTCTTTGGGCGAAAGTCGAAAAACTTATTTCTGTGGTCTGGTTCTAAGTCGCTCTTCAAAATAACTGTTCTCGGTTGAAGAGGAGTCCAAAATTTTGCGTGAATCTTGGTCAGCTATCTTGATCTATCATCTCTGCCGCCAGGGCCGAACGAACCGTCTTGTGCCCGCCAGGGCCGAACTAACCGTCTTGTGCCCGCCAGGGTCCGAACGAACTGATTTCTGCCTGTTGGGGCCTCGTTTTTATTGACGCCTTCAAAAACCGGGCTGGGTCTGTTGGCGTCGGGGGGAGTTCCTCGATAATTCTAAATACATATCCACCTCTTTTATTTCTGGTTAAGGATTTTCCACTCTTTTCCATTTTTGGTAACTTTTTTCTCACTCCCACTTTCTCACCATGCTTCTGAGGGGCGTGAACTGCCCTCCCCACTTCTTCGTAGCGGCATCTCATACTTATACTCTGGATGGGGGCGTCGACAGTCTTCTTCGTGCGTCACGTGACCAATCTCGGTCAATGAGGTCTTGGTCGGGTATCTTTCCTCTTCCTTCGTGCGTCATGTGATCACCACTTGGCCAATGACGTCTTAGTCGGGCGTGAACAACCCGCGGCTTTGTTTTGGAAAAGAAATACCTTGTTTAACTAAAAAAAATAATGATCACTCCTCCTTCTCTTTTTCTTTCTTTCAAATCGCCGTTATCATGAACGGATAATGTGACAACTCTTTGTTCAACACGTGGCGTTTGTCAAGCAGTTTATCGGTAATGCATCAGACGGCTGGATTTTCCGACATGGTCTAAGAAAGGAATTTTCTCCAAGTTCTCAGCCAGTCTGACGTCTCCGAGGCAGCAATAAAAACATTTCATTTTCCTTCGGTTCATGTGTCTGATAACAAAATTTTATTATCGCAGGGCAAAAGTCTGTTTTGTCGAAAAGAGCTTAACTAGTGAGACTAATTGTGTGGGATTTTAATTTTCCATACCCAGCTAAGGTTCCAAGCTACACCTGTGTTTTGTCAATTATCAAAATCTAACGTTTTCAAGTGGACTTTCTTTGGTGAACATTTCTTGATAACACCATTCCATTCGCGCGGACAAGTGGGGAAATCGGTCAATGCTTGCTCGCAGGTGGTCTTTTAATTTTGATAGTAAGATGCTTTCTCGTACCAATAGTTTAGATAACACTTCCCTACCCACTCAATCTCATTGTCATTGTAATGACACTCCTTCCGGCATTTGCCACTTATCCAAAATAACCCTTTTTTTATTGCCTCTTAAGCCGTGTGTGTGTGTGTGTTCGCCTATGATCCGTCTCGCATTACTTCTTCCTTCCTTTCTTCTTTTTCTTTCTTTCAAATCGCCTGGATGCATGGTGCCATATATATATATATATATATATATATATATATATATATATATATATATATGAGCATTTGTGTGGAGTTTGTTCTTATATGTATCTTATGATATATTAGCTTGAACAATGAATACTTTCTGTATACGTATATGAACTTTATGCTTAAAAAATAAAGTATAATATTTATTTTCAATTATATCTTTTTATTTTACAGTGAGGATTACACATTACAAGGCCCGGGGTGCACTCGAAATGAGGGGTTACGTTAGAAAACCATTTGTGTGTATATGAGGATATCGATTAATCCTAGCCTTGAACAAGTTAAGATTGTAGTGATCGGGGAAACAACCTGTTGGGAGTCGATTCCATAAAGCAATGGTTCGTGGTAAGAAGCTGCTTGAGTGGTACTTATTATTTGCTGATGGAATACGGGGGGGGTTGCTACTATGTAAGTGGTATGGCGTGTTCTGGTTGTGACGGTTTGCCTCGGCGATTATGACTCTCCAAAACATCCTATCCCGGTATTTCTCTCTTTGTAAAGCCTACCTCCCCACCCACATTCTGCCAGCCATTCACACAAACTTGTGATATAGGTGGTTTGCTGCCTTCCCCTATCAGTCTTGTCCTCAATATTTCTACGTGAGGGTTAAGTTTTCCAAGTCTTCTTTTATCAATATATGTCGAAAAAAATCTCAGTTGTCTCTTTCTGCTTTGGGGTATAAGTGTTCTTTTTGTTAACATTTTCTTTAAATCTTCCTTGTTGATTACTCGCTTCGTCCATAGAATGTTCTATCCTTCTGCAGAACCATCAGTTATCTATTCATCTGTGAGGAAATTGTCCAGAATTTACTGTAGTATAAAAGGATGGATATCGCGTATCATTTTTTTTTTTCAACGAATTTTTCCTGTTTCTTAGTATTTCGCTTATCTTTTAGGATGCATCTTTCGCTAATCCAATGCGTGTTCGGATTTCACTGCCAGATATTGAAAATTTCTGAACTGTTATGTGATATAGCAGTGAATACTCGACAATCTCCTCAAAGATGAAGAAAAGACTTGAAGCAACAGAAATGTGGTTCTACAGAAAGATGCTGAGAATACCATGAACTGAACATGTGAGAAGCGACAAAGTTCTATAGAAATTTGGAAACAATAAGGACATTTTTGGGAAGATAATGGAAAACACAGTTGAAGTTTCTATGGCACATAATGAGGAAAAGGGCTTGGAAAATCTGATACCCACAGGACAGACTGAAGGCAAGAATGACAGAGGAAAACAAAGTATAACATACTTAGTGAACTATTTACATTATTCGGACTATTGTCCTTATCTTTGTCACCATATTTATTACAACGTTTCGGCCGTTGTATGCTCCAACCTTCTTCAAGTGGTTGGAACGTTGAACTGAACCCTCAAGGACACATGGCACAGTGGACAAAGACGTTAGTTAGATCCAATGACAGGATCCAAAGAGTGTGAGTTCAATACCCGGTTAAGGCAGTGGAGAACTGGGAGAAGGGAATTAACAGGAGATAACTGACATCCTTTAAAGATGTCACGTGAAACTAGAACAGTCTACACCAGTGAGCGAAATAAAAGGTTCAGTTCAACATTCCAACCACCTGAAGAATCCCGGAGCGTACAACGTCCGAAACGTTGTAATAAATATGGCGACAAAGATGAGGACAATAGTCCGAATAATGTAAATTGTGTACATAAAACCTCATCTCAGAAATATAGACAAACATACTTAGTGATCTTGACTAAATGGGTGGCGGACCAGGGTTTAGAAGAAAATAACAAAATTTATTAAGAGCTACAAAGACAGGAAATTGTGAAGAACAATGATCACCTATGCACTGAGGGGACACAAAACATGAAGAAAGTTTGTTTGATGTTGACATCTCCAATTTGTCGCTCGCACCTTGGGCTTTTTTCCCCTTGCTGATGACGATATTTTCTGTCTTTTTGCAGCTGATAGTCCGTTATTTCTTGCTTTCCTTTACTGTCCAGTCGAGGAGATCCTGTAGACTCTTTTCTATGTCTGCCATCGGCACGGTGTCATTAAGTTATTAAGTTTAAAGTTTACGCATGAATAGAGCACGAAGCAGAATTAAACCGGGAATAAAACAAGAACAGTGTGGTTTTTATCAAGGACACTGGAACAAGGAATACTATATTTATGACTAAACTGATATCAGAGAGAATGGAGCAAATGCAGATGACATGCACTTATAGTGTAAAGATTACGGCAAAGCACTTGATAAAATACAACACTAGGATCTATCTGAATTATTAGGAAAACTAGATATATTTGAAAAGGATATTAGACTTAAGGCTATCAGAACATAGAATCACACCACCTACATACATATAGCAAATGAATTAAGAAGCCCCACAAAAAACGGAATTGGACGTAAGACAATGATGTGTCTTCTTTCCAGATTTATTCAACATCTACAATGAGGATATCATAAGGTAGCTGAAGACCCTACAAGAATTTATTATCGGTGCACGTAATATTCACAAGAAGCGAGATGTAACGAGTTCGCACTCTACCTGGTTATATACAGATATTTGTAGCGTACTGATCGCTTATCTATGAGGTGCATGTTCAAATATATGCAGCAATGCCTGAAAAATGAATAGTACTTAACTATGACAAATATAAACTTTTTTTTTCATATATTCATAACTATGATGGAGTTAATTTATAAATTAGGTAAAATAAGACGCTTCTTTTGGGTGTCGTGTCCCTTCAGGACATGGATTATCATAGCTCCCCACAACTTCCTGTCCCTTCTAGCCTTAAACTTTACTCTGCCATCTATTGACACAGACTCCTTAGCTTACTTGATATTACCTTCTAACGTAGTTTACCTTCAATATATCATGTGGGTGTTAAATTCTCCACGTCCTTTTTCCTACGTCTCAGAATTTTTAACAGTCTTTTTCTTATCTTAAGTATAAGTGCTCGCTTGTTGTTTTTTTTTCTGTTTTTTGTTGTTTTTTTTCTTTTTTTCCTTAAAACTTCCTCATTGCTTAAATGTTCCGTCCATGACATTTTCAGCATCCTTCTGTGGAACTAAAACCAGTTTCCTCTTCATCTGTGAGAAAATTGTTTAGCATTCATTCCCGCATTGATGTTAAAGAGTTGTTCAGCACTCTTTTTCTTTGTTTCTAACAAAATTCTTAAAGTACATGAAATTGTTAACTAGAGGAAGTATTCAGGTCGTAATCCCGAGTAAACTATATCAATGCAAGGAAACTCGATATATCAGGCATTTTTGGCGATATATATTCATGTTAATGTTGTATATCTACAAAAAACTTAAGATCGTGTGACATTATGTGCAACAAGCGAAAACAGGAAACACGACAGAAGACAGTCAGTTGACAAAATTTTTAATTAGTCATTAGTTCGTTAGATGCCAATCATATTTTACTACCTTTACGTGTGCGTGTTTTTCTTTTACGCTAAACAAAATTTACATTAAACGTTATCACTATAGTTTCATTAGGTTTCGAACAGATGCCATCAACGGATTTGATTGCTTCTTTCTCTCTGTCTCTCTGTCTCTGTCTCTCTGTCTCTGTCTCTGTCTCTCTCTCTCTCTCTCTCTATCTCTCTCTCTCTCTCTAACATATTTTAATTGCAACCTAACCTCACTTAGAAAGAATGTCTTCCGTCTACAAAACAGATGCATGGTGAGCCGTTATAACGAGACGACCAAAGATTAACTGCCTTCTAAAAGAGGTGGGCAACTGTAACTGTATCTCTGTTAGCAGCGACAGAAATTGTAATAATTCTATCGCGGATCGACGGGCTATATTTACATTCCTTTATTTGTCTGTACCTGTTAAAAAAAAACGTTATCCGCTTTTTGGTAATCGTACATTTTACAATAGTGATTTCTGTTATTGTCTCTTTGTAATCGACCCGCAAAGAAAAAAAGTATCCTGCGCGCTCAAGTATGTACCCAAAACAAACGCATGGTCAACCACGCCCGTGGGTGCCAACATGCAACACGACTGATGAAACAATAGATAAAAACACAAAATCTGTAAGACATAAAGCCTCGCGAAAACAAGAAAAGATACCACATTCCTTGTACGCCTTTTCAATGGTCGTTCAACCTTGTGTCGTCTTCCCATTTTTTCTAGCCTTTCTCTCGTCAAATTAGCAACTTCCCTGTTAATCACAAAGACAACTAAATCCAATCCTTCTTCCTGTCTATCGCGTTTGCGCATTCTTTTCCTCTTTTTTTCCTTTTTTTTTAGTCGTTTTCTCTTTTCTTTCATACAATTTTTCTTCTTTCTTTCTTTTATTTTTTGGTTTCCTTTCTTTAGTAGAGTTTCATTCTTTATTCCTTCATACAATTTGTTCTTTCTTTCTTTTTCGGCTTTATTTCTTTACTAGAGTTTCTTTAAATATTTTTTCATAAATTTTTTCTTTTTTTTTCTTTGTTTATTTCTTCTTTCTTTCTTTCTTTCTTGTTTCGTCTTCCTTTCTTTACCAGGTTTTTTTTTATTTTTGTCTTCATAAAATTTGTTCTTTTTTTTCATTTATTTCTTTACTCAGTTATTTTTATCTATTTTTTCGGCTTCCATTTTTTTAATTATTTATTCTGCGTTCTTTCTGTCTGCATTTCTTTCTTTATTTCTTTCCTTTATTTATTATGTATTTATTTCACAGTTTTCCTTCTTTTTCCTTCTTTACACAGGTGTATTTATTTATTTATCATATTAAGCCTTTATTTTTCCATCATTTTACTTTGCATTCTTTATTTCTTTTTTTATTCGGCTTTCTGTCTTTCTTTTCTTCTTCCTTTATTTGGATGTCTGTCTTACTTTTCTTTTATCCTTTTACGGTGAACTTTCCTCGCAATGATTTGATGGCTGTAGAAAGCTTGTCTCGCTAGATTAATTACGACTGAGTAGTAAATTCGATCCCAACTGGATGAGCGTCCTAGGTATGACGATAAACTACATCCGCTTCTTGGATATGACGATAACTACATCCGCTTCCTGGGTAAGACGATAAATTACGTCCAACAGCAAGGCCTCTGATTAGGAGGTTTTGAGGAGCGTGAAACCACTTCTTAATTGCTGTTGTTCCCTGGTCCACCCTGACCCGAGGTGGTAGCCCCTGTTAGTGCCCCAGCTATGGGGAAATAACCCTGAAACTGAGTTAAAATGCATTATAAAATATTACCAGCAATACGTTTTTGAAGAAAAAAAACTATTACCAGCGATACGTTTTTGAGAAAAAAATATTACCAGCTATAAATTTTTAGAAAAATAATATTACCAGCTATACAATTTGAGGAAAACAATATTAACAGAAATAGATTTTTGACAAAACAAAAATATTCCCAGGAAAAAAAAAGTTGTCGGTATTAAATGACCCATTGAGGTTGATATGCCGTAAACCAAACCAAACCAAACCAAACCCAACTGGATGATTCATACTTTCAGCCTAGTGCCACATCTAAGCAACGCTTATTAAATTGCCAAATAACAGCCATGACAATAGTAATATTAGCCGTTTCCTTATAAAGAAACATTCGGCATTCATTGACCGAGCAGCAAGTGCTACTTTCGGTTGAAATTAAAATATTTCTATTAAAACATTTTTCAGGAAAATAGGTATATTAACTGTTATTGATGGGGGGTTGCTTCCAAAACTTTTGTTTGAAGTGCTGTAAAGCGTAAACATCTTGAAAAGTATCGTTCAGAATTCGCTAAAGTTTAATTCTACAGATTTGTACTGATAATTTCCTTGAACAGAATACGTGTGGAACAAACTCAAAAAGTCAGTTGAATGTTCTGGCACATATTATAAAGAAGGTCGGCTTCGAAAACAATACTCAGAGGACGAATAGAGAGATGGAGGGTACAACGGACAACTTATCTGATCCGTTTGCATGAATAGATGGCAGAGGGGCTACAAGGCGGGATGGTAAAGTTATTTAGAGCCGAAGAGAAAGGACGTTGTAGAGAGCCACGATCTTAAAATCAATATAAATACTGATTACCGTAAAGTAATGGTCAACTTTGTAGTCTCACAAATAAATAATCCCGAATATATTGTATATACTCGCGTATCTTGCGACTTTTGAAGACCTAATTATAAAGTTAATTTTTAGGGGGTTTCATCATACACGTGATATAAAATTAGCGTACGTACTGCTGGCCCTCGCTACGCCGTTGACCAAACTACATATTGATTATTGTAGCGAAATTAGCTTCAAAATTACGTCTACGCGAGTATATAAGCTAATCTCCAAGACTAAAGGATGTACGAGGAACTATCGGAAAGTTCTCAAACAAAAAAAGTCCGTGGATGGTATACAGGGTGCATCAATAATACTTTTATAAACTTTGTAGGCGGGTTGCTCACACGAAAACAAGGACAAAGTCTATATAAAGATATGCCCGCAAAACCTTCGTTTTTCAGTTATTAAGTTTAAAGTTTATGGTAGAGGCTCTTAATTATACTATCCAAGATACAATCCAAAAATACTTATTTTTGATACACTTTGTATATTATTTAAATTTGGACATCACCCATTTCGAAATAACACTCTTGCGAATGTAAACAGGTAATTTCGTCGGTGAATTTTTTCTGACAGATTCCAAAACTGATCATATCATATGAGAAGTCTGATGGATTGTTCGGTGACACCCCTTACAGGAAATGTTTTCCACACATTTTCTTCTGTATTTCTGATGATCTCTCGCTTTGTACGGTCATCATCTTGAAGCAACCACTGTGTTCGACCGGAAGAATGTCTGCCAAAAAGTCTGACGAAATATTTCCAGGGACACAGTAAGAAATTTACTGAGCTTCATGCAAAATTTAGTGCAAGCACAATCCTTGAATTGTTCAGTCATTGTAAAGATCTCAGAGCCGTTCCAGCAAAGTCTTGCGTGATAACTAAACGTGAGTAGATAGCTTGATAACAGATAATTTGGAATATTAGTGTCCCACTCAGCATTTACTGACGTTAAATGAGCAAACACATTTAATGGCCAATTGCTGATATTCCCACAAGCCAACCCAAACGCTAATTACTGTCATTTCTGAGTTAAGCGATGAAAATACCTACTTTATAACTATTAAGATAATTTCACTGCGATAGTTTCAAATGAAAGATGTCAAATTGCTTTACTGTTCTTTTCTATCATTTTGAACATCAAGTTTTATTCACATCCGAATCTTAGTATCGGCTTGGTGTTCATTAATATTGGTGTGTTTTTGTTTCTTCTTTTTCTGTACTGTTTCGCCTAAGGATGCGAGAGGCCATGACTCTCCACAACTTCCTATACTTTGTAACTCTAATCAATGTTTGTCCCAAGATTTTCAGTCTGTTCTGCTAGCCATTGACACAAGCTCGTTACGTAGACCACTTTCTGTTTCACCCCACCATTTGTCTTCAGTATCTCCTGTGATTGATTGATCGATTTATTTTTACGGTTTATTAACCGTTTACAGGTTATTTAAAGCCATAAAATATTTACTTTATAAAAAAGATTATTCGAGATAATAACGATTTATTGATACAAACCTTATTAATCAACTCATAACCGGGTTGGGGGAGGGGCACGTCGACGTGGTGTAATGCTTAGTAAGCTTGTCTCGCTGGATCAATTGTATTAGAGGCAAGAGGAATAAAGAACATTAACGTATAAGCCACCTAACAATCTTGTGTAAATTGTTTCCAGTAGAGGCATTAGGAGATATAGTAAAATACAAACTTAACTCTTTCTACATAGGACAGGAAGCTGTGGAGAACCACGATTACCCATGTCCTGAAGGTACACGACATACAGAAGTTAAGTCTGGTAACTTTACAGATAGCTACAACAGATAGAAAGTTGTGGGGTGTCATGATTACCCACGTCCTGAAGAGTCACAGTGCATAGAAGAGAGCGAATGCATATACTCAGGCATGTTAAAAGTGGATTACAAGATTTCCTATTAGGGAATTATCGCTGAATGAGTAGACTATTTGAGATTAACAGCGATTAAATGAAGGGATTATTTTGGTATAATTAACGTTATACAGCACGGGAGATACTAACTATCTACTAATTAAGCATCTAAAATAATTTGCACCAGCTTAGTATAATTATTCACTATTATGTAAACTAAACATAAATACCTTCAACTTTTAAATAAATTGCAACAGGCGATGAAAAGTAGATAGTTTACAGCACTGTTAAATATGAAAGGTCTTTATTTATTATTATCCTCTTCAGCTCGGCCCATGTCGTGCCGGCTTCCTTCACCTCTGCGTCAACACTTCTGCGCCAAGTCTGTTTTGGTCAACCCACATCGCAACCCTTGTGGATTACAATCAAGGGCCTGTCTGATGACACTAGAAGCTGGCTTGTGGGGTGTGTGTTCCGTTTCTTGATGTTAATCTCGATTGAGGCTTGTCTGGTCCTGTCCCACAGTTGGTCATTGGAGACGACTTCTGGCTGCCATATGTGGCAGCAATATTATAATCATAGACAAATGGTAGATTTATAGAGATGTAAGATAGATTACGGAGAGCAAAATATTACTGTTAATATGAGGGAGTTTTTGATAAATTACTCAACTAGGTAATAATCTATTATGAGCAACTGTTTCACATAGGCTACGATTTGACTTAACTGTCGATAAATAACGAAGTATAAGTCTTTCGCATAAAAGTTTAATAAATATAACAGCGTAGATGCATAAATGCAACGCCAATCGCCATCTTTTGTTTTCTTAAATTCTGTTCCTTTATTGACCTTTCCTTATCTTCCTTCACTAACGTTTACTCATTCTCTTTTACTCCCAGTAATCCCGTGTCCTAGTAGCATTATCGCCTAGATTGGGTGGGGGTGAAGAAATGATTAAAAAAACAACACTTAATTTGATTCAACCGTTAATATTTGGACTACGCGTCTATGGTATATACCACTGAGCTTCTTTTTTTTGTTAGAAAGAATCCTTCCTATCCACTTCTCTCGTCTGCATATGCATGTGTGTACCTAACTGAATGTGCGCGCGTGCGTTCGAGAATATTGCATAAAACAAATAATGCGCTAATTTAGTACTGTTGATAACTTGGAACGAGTTCTGCATTTTGCCTGCAGGTGGCGTTAGTGACGCATAATGGAGCATTCTTCCACGTGACTCACATGCATGCACTCTCATGCACTAGAGTCGGGTGGGTGGATTGGAATCAGCTGGCTATTCGCCTGCGCGCGCTCACGCACCTCCGTCCGTTTTACTGTGCATGGGAGTCGTAGGAGTCGGTTTTCAAGTAGCCTTAATGGGAGACACAAATGATGCAGCTCACAAGTCAAGATGCAACTCACTTATGGTCGCAAAATATGTGAAGAACAGCTGTCTTACACACTCTGTAATTATTTTCTGGCTTTATAGTTCTGAAAGCTGTGCTCTTTTGAAGAATAATGGTTCTACAAGAGGAAGAGCTACGGCAGTTTGCATTCAACTATTGTAAACGTCAATGCCTTGATTGTAGTAGTGTCAGTTCTTGTAATAAAAGTACTGATCATTAATTAAAATATATATTTCTTTGTCTTGGCTTCAGTTGATAAAAGGGGCCAAACCGTCAGACAATCTAGTGGACCATTACTCTTGAGCAAACATTTAATATCCCCTGAGATTAGAGAGGATAATACACTTAGTAAGAACACAACTCTCTACAATATTTTTCTTCTTCTATGTCGCTCCAGGACGTGGGTGATCACTGCTCTCCAGAACTTCCTATCTTTTGTAGATCTTAATATCCCGCTCATTGTTTTGTCATCCATTTAAACAATCTCTTTAGATAGCTTACTCGTTGTTTTCCTCTGTTAACTTTTGACATCCATATGTCCTGTGAGTGTCAAATTCTCCAAGCCCTCTTTCCGCATTATGTGTCATAGAAATAGAACTTTTCCACTCTTTACTTACATCAGTTCAGGATTACGGCCACATCACGTTGGGACACCGGTTACCGTACGATCTCTGAAGGTAAGAAACGTCGCCCCTGGTCAGTACATAGATAGGTGACCGCTTAAGAATACCAGTTGCTGTAAATTTGGGTGTGCGGGTGGTGTAATGGATAATGTCATGCAATTTTTTTAATCGAAGAAGCGAATTTCAATTCCCGATGGGTTCATTATATTTATTACGTGCTTTCCGTTCGGAAATGTATTAATTTACTTTCTCCCCCACCTGTGGGTTAATTAGTAAGAGTTGTATCTCTAAAGCATTATTATCTCCAAAAATATTTACAATCTAAAAAATATTTTCTGATTGAAAATCACCTGCAAAGGGTTGATAAAACGTAGAAAACTAATCTATCTTCCCCCAGTTCAGACATTTATTGCTACTTTTAGGGTGTTGAAACATTCTCATTTCTCAGATACTTTTCCAAAGAACTGTCACACTGTGGAATGACTTTCTGGACACGAGAGTCTTAGACTCTTCAAGTGAACGGTCAATCGTCAGTATTCCTCCTTATCTTCAAATTGTTAATTTCTTACCACTTTCTCTGTTATTCATATCACACGACTCATTCATCATTACCATTTTGACGGGAACTATCTACCTTGAGTGTGTCTAGATCCCTGTACTGGGTCAATTGTAGTATTAGAAAAGTTTCGAAAATAGCTGGGTTGGTTAACCCAGTTGCGTTTGGGACAATTTCCAAAGAAGGAATTGAAAACATCGTTTCAAGATTGGCAGATACGTTCAAAAAATGTCAATTATGTGACTAGAAAAAATATTTTTTAGAAATATTTGCTTTGTTAAAAGAAAACAGTGTTATTTCTCGCTACCCCTAATAACCTCTTTGTTACAAGGATCTTAACTAGTAGAGAAAGCAAAGTTGTTTTTCAAAAGATAAGTACACGATGCGTTTTTCCTGTTTCGTTGAACAATCTATTTTCTATGAAGAAATGTTTCATAATAGTATTCGTACTTGTAGTAAGAAAAGTAATCTTATTAAAATATTTAGTACATCTGTAGTCAAAGAAGTGATTGATGCAGAAAGATAATGGCGGATGTATTAAAAGTTGCAAGAATAATAAATATAACATTATAATATCAGTAGATATTCATGCTTGTAAATGTCGTAACATTTGCATTTCTTAGATTAACGATGCTCTAGAGGGCTTGTTACCTTCTGCTGAAATCTGAATTTTCTTTTTTTTCATGAATGTCAGGAATCTTAATTAACAAGGAATCAAACATTATCCTACGCCATCTTTCTTCCACTCTTTAGATGCACGCGCAGGTATTAGAAGGAAAAAAATTATATCTTAATTTGAAAGTTTCTTTTTACTATTAACTTTGTGCAAACACCAACTGTCTTCGAACTTCGATTTCTTTAGACAACTTCAAGAACTGACTTAAATCTCGCGGACGATATTTGCTAGAAAATGAGAAACAATAGAAAGGATAAAAAAATAATCCAAAACGTTTATGTCTATACAAGTAAATCATTGTCATCATATTACCAGAATGAGGGTGCTATTTTTCTACGTTGCCGTCATTAAGATTGATGCACTTGTTCTCTCAGTGCATTCTTTTCGATTGATTTCTTCTCGAAGAATGTGGGGTCAAACAACTGTAAAAACAACGTTATCTGTCTGGAAATATTTCCCAAATAAGCATCTAAAGTGATAATTTCTTTCCAGTAATGTTCACTCCATAGAACGCTCAAGATACACTCAATGTAGAGCGATAACGAATGAGGTGAGTAATACGAATGTAAATGTAGGAAGTAGGAAGATTATGAGGATTTGGAGGATAGATAATGATTAACCCTTGACCTGAAAAATTAACAATCTAGCGTTCAGGAAAACATCCTTGCGGGAGTCGATTTTCCAAAGCAGCAGTTCTGAAAGAGGCAAGTCAGAGCTATATGTTGGATGCGATAAAACAGTCTAACCATATAGTTGGAGCCTTTTATCAATCTTGCTATATTGGAAATGGCGTGGCGTTGCCGTGCAGTAGAGTGACTCTCTTCTGAAAACAACCCAATCTGTCAACAAATAACTTCCCTCGATCTGTTCAGTATTTCATAGTATCTTTCTTTTTATAAGCATTTCACCCCAAGCAAGGTTGGAAGCCACTAGCACGCAAGGGGTTATATAGGATTTGCAGCGAGAGCAGATAGGAATGATAGAGGAAAGGATGTAGAGAAGGATAGTGGATAGATCAAGGCAACTGGAGATGTCGATTGACATTACATTTGAATAGTTGTTGATTATAGCTCTCAGGGAAACTAGAATAGGGAAGGGAGTTCCACATGCGAGAGGTGCGAGACATGAAGCTATTGGAGTAAAAGAGACGGCTACATTTAACAGTTTCAACAGTGAAAGGGTGAGAGCGGGATGCCAGCCTCGTAGGGCGCCTGAACTCATGAAGCCTGCGAACCAGCGAATGCAGCTCATCGGAGCGATTAACATGAAAGTATTTGTAAAAAAGACAGAGAGAGGCGACGGCGCGTCTGTGAGAGAGCGACTGCAGACGAGATGCCAGATCAGGGCCAATTGCATTGCATATCCGTTTCTGGATTTCTGACATTAATTCTACTATAAGTACTTTCTCTTTTTTTTTCTTTTTTTTTTTTTTTTTGTATTTCAGAACAGAGTTACCGTCAATATCTTTACTGACTACTGAACTTTGATATTTTTTGTTTGGTGGGTGTTGGTGATGATGGATTCTTCTAGGTTATCGAATCAACCTTAGCTCTTTAAGGTTAAAGTGTGTTCCTTAAATTATGTAAATCAGGAAGGTGGTTACACATGCCATTGTTGGAGAAGCGAAAAAGTAACTCCAATCTCTTGACGTCGGGTTCTTCGCTCGTGCACCAACGTTAAAAGTGCATCAATAGCGATTGTAATTATATTGAAAGGCACTTACATTTCGGATATAACTCTTATTTCTCATTTTCTGACAGGTCTCATCCGCAAGATTTGTGTCTGTCAGGAGAATTTCCTCTCAGATAAAGAAGCGATTTGTTGATGTAGTTCTACAGAAGGATACTGGGAATACCATAGCTGGAACATGTAATCAATGAGGAAGTTTTAAGGAAAATAAGAACCCCAAAAAATACACTTACATTTAAATTCATAAAGAGACAGATAAAATTACTAGGATATATAATGAGGAAAGAGGACTTGGAGAATTTGACACTCACAGGACATATTGAAAACAAGGGAGTCAGTGGGTAAATAACCCACCTAACAAATTTGTATAAAAGATAGCAGAATAAAGACTTGGAAGAATGAGAGGCATAGAAAGGAGAATAAAATTGCTTACGGCTGATAGGTTATGGAGTTGATTAAATTACCTGTATCCCGAAAGAACAGGGAAAATGGAAGAAGAAGACATTGTTAGTAAATATCCGTACATTGTTTTTTGGATATCACTTGTAAAAATTGCTGGATGTAAAATATTAGAAACCGAATTGGTTGACAAAATCTTAACAATAAATACAAATGACACATTGTTGATAGCAAACACAGAAAGGAAACTGCAAAAGGTGGTAAAGGAAAGTGATAAGAAAGGACAAAGCCTCAAATATAAGAAGACAGAATGCATTGTTGTCAGAGCAAGAGGAACAGCTCAAGATGGGAACACCGAATTAGAAACATCAAAATTAAACAAGGACGAAGGAAAAAATAAGGATGGAAAATGCACCACTGAAATGATAAGAGAGGCACGGTGGTGTAATGGATAGCGGCTCGGATTGAGGAATCAAATCCATTACATTCACTTACGTGCTAATATCCTTGGGAAAGATATAAATCCTCTTCTTCTTGCCGCTAGTTATGGGTAAATAGCAGGACAGACCGGGTTCTATAGCCTTGGATGGCAACTGGTCTACCGCAGAAAGAAATGTCAACCTACTGTGGGGAAAATCTGCCTCGTCAGTCATGTATGGAAAGATACATGATTGCATAAGCGTGTATCACGTATGGTACATAACTGACTGACTGAAATGATAAGACGAATCGGAATATGTAAAAAAAAAAACGCAAAGTTTTGAGAAATAGGAATATTTCCTTAGAAACATAGAAAAAAGTATTGAATGTAATGCTATGTTATGTAGTCAGTTCTAGACAATATCTTCGCAGATGAAGAAATGACTTGAGGCAACAGAAGTATGGCTCTACAGGATGATGCTGAGGATTTTCTGGACTGAACAAAGAAGTTTTAAAGAAATCAAAGACAAAAAGGACCACAAGGGAGTTCCACAAGCGAAAAATGCGTGACATGAAACTATTATCATAAAAATAACGGTTAAATCTAGATATTTCAACTGTAAAATGAAAACGCCAATCTAGTTCTGCACTTAAATTCATAAAGTCTAGGTACCAAAGAGGAAAGTTCACCAGAACAATTATCTGGAGAGTATTTATTAAAAAGGCACAGGGAAGCTACATTACGGCGGTGGGGAAATGCCTGAAGCGGAGGTGCCAGGTCAAGACTCATAACACTGCAGATTCTTCTTTGGATTTTATCTAGAATCCGGTAGCAATATTCAAAGCATGAACAGATGGTAGACTTATAAATATGTAATATATGTGAAAAGTGTGTGTATATAAATATAAATATGAATATAAATATAAATATATATATATATATATATATATAATTATTTATATATTATATTCGCGGTACTTATTAGAAAGCGCTCAATATCAGAGATAGAGCTAACATTTGATTGGACTGATGCGAGTTTGAGACCCTGGGTTTCACGCTTTTGCGATCGTCAGACAAACTGATAATTTTTACCTATCATAATTTTACACAGGCCCTACCACACGTATCTCGTGCATGCGAGGAAATATTATTCGGCGAAAAAATACAAAAAATCTCTGATTGCTGACATGTATACATTTACGAGACATTCACGAGTAATTTTCGCTACACTTCCAATCTTTGAATTTCAACATACAAATGCGTATGTATAGACACAACACCACCCATATACATACATATGCCAAATCTCATACTGTCCGCATATGTTAATATCTGTATGTGCCCCGGCGGACGAGCAAGTGTGTATGTGTGTCTGCGTACCTCATCGGGTGTACGGACCTGCATCTATGTTTGCGTTAGCACGATCACATCACGACGACGATTCCCCCCACTCCCATAATAACACCAATACACACAATCTACATAAACCCAAATTTGAAAAAAAAATTAATCAGTTTGTCTGACGATCGCAAAAGCGTGAAACCCAGGGTCACAAACTCACATCAACCCAACTAAATATGTAATATAGATTCTGGAGAGAAAAAATTTCTCGCACGACTCAGTGAAGCAGCTTTCCTAACATCAGACCTAGCAATGGATTCAATATAATCTTTCCATTCCATATATATAATCAGAAAGAGATCGTTGAATTTTATAGGGTGCACAATAATGAAGGGGACTTGAAGTATTTGATATGCGCAGGACATATTAAAGACAGAAGGAACAGAGGGAAACGGTAAGTAAATTACTTAAGTTTGTATAAATGGATGGTAGGACTGAGAGTGGCTGGTGGAAAAAGCAAACCTTGCTAAGAGCTATGAATGATAGTAAATTGTGGATATCAATGATATTCCTCGTCCTGAAAGATCATGGGATATAGAAGAAGAAGAAACGGCTGTTGTAGTAAATACAGTATTGAAAAAAAAAAAGGATTCGGCCGTCGTCTTTAGCTGTATAGTATGTGCTTCGTCAGGGATACATACAGTTTTGAATTCAGATTTTTCGCTTCTCGCACACCAGTTGCCATCCAAGATTATAGAACCCAGTTTGTCCTGCTATTTACTCAAAGCGTGAGACAGAAGAGATGGATTCATACCTATCCAAGCACTTGAATGGGAATGTAATGAACATAACTGGAATTCAAACTCTGCTTACCTCATGTCCGAGCCGCAATCCATTACTCTACCGTGTCTCAATATTGAAATTATTATCAACATAACAGAAACTAAAGAATAGTAATGTTACCAGTGCCTTTGTGCTGACAGTATCTGAAACGGTGGCACTCCGGTGTTCTCGTATAGTATTATTTTTCTATGCTGTTTGTTCAAAGACACTAATTCTCTTTTGGGTGCGCTGAACTCTCTCTAACTTCTCCATTTCTTTTTATTATTATTATTACTCTCTTACTCTCTCCATCCCTCTTCGCATTCTTCGCTCCATTTCTCTCTGTCCATCTCTCCCGATGCTGTTCACCCTTTTATTCTCTGCCTCTTCCGCCTCTTTATTTCTCCTTTTCACTCTCTTACTTCCTTCCCCTTTTTCGCTTATTCTTTTCCCCTCTCTCTTTTACCCTATCCGTTTTCAGCCCACTTTTTCATTTACTTCCTTTTCCATATATATATAGTCTTACCTTTATCAATATATTTCTCGGTTCAGCTTTCTAATTCCCCCCACCCTCTCTCTCTCTCTCTCTCTCTCTCTCTCCCTCTCCCTCTCGTTTGTTACTTTTCCCTCTCTTTCCCTCTCCGCCTTCATTACTCCCACTCCTTTTCTCTATCTTTCTTCATTATGTTTTTGTTCTTTAAAAAAATTACTCTGTCATCTCTCTAATTTCCACAGTCTCTCTCTCTCTCTCTCTCTCTCTCTTTCTCTCTCTTTCTCTTTTCGTTTTTAAACTTCTTCCTCTCTTTACCTCTCCGCCTTCATTTGTCCCACTCCATTTCCCATTTTTATATTTTTGTTCTTTTGAAAATTTACTTTGTCATCTCTCTAAATTTCCACAGTTTCTTTTTGTCTGTCTGATGTCTGCCTGTCTGTCTCTCTCTCTCTCTCTCTCTCTCTCTCTCTCTCTCTCTCTCTCTCTCTCTCTCACTCTGTTTCTTGCTTTACTTCATCCTCTCTTTCTCTCTACGTCTTCATTTCTCCCATTCTTTCCCAATTTTCCGCCTCACTCTCGCTTTTCATTTCTCCTCTCTCCCTTTCTCTGTCTTTCTTATTTACATTTTTGTTCTGTTGCATCTCTCTTACTTATTATTTATTTATTTATTTATTTTGCTTTCTTCTTTCTATCCGCTTCCCACCTAGAAATTCTCGGCGCCTACAGGTATGTACCTAGTTAAGAAAGGGGGAAATATGAAATCTTCTTGGTTTTATTTTTCGTCATGTATCTTTTTTATCTTCTGCATTTTTATTTCCACAAACGCCTCCATTAGTTGAACGCAAAACTGCCAAATGAAATGAGTGGAAGGAGGAGGGGTGTAAAAAAAATGTTGGTTGTAATGATAACATTCCTTGTACGAACGTAATCTAATACCGCGCGCCTTTCGCTTTTTTTTTTCACCCAGGAAGAGAGAGAGAGAGACTCTATAGAAATCCCAGATAGAAGCAATGTTACAATAAGTAGTACCAAAAATATACGCACGCCTTGATATATACATATATGATTGTGTATTTGGGCAGCAATCCATCTTTTATGCAAATTTCATTGAAGACGACTAACAAGGAACTGCGATTAATCTTTTTATTTAATTTTTCTTGCATTCGGACAAGTGATTTCTTTACTGGACATAGAGTGTGTAACAACTGCCCAAAAGAATATGTGCAGCCTATCGTTTTCTGTTATTCTATTAGCCATTATCAAAGACTTTTTTTTCAGTGATGTTCCCTCATTACAATATCCAAGCTCCCCTTGAAGTAGAGAGCTACAAAGTAAAAGGTACTGTTGATGGGGATATATAAGGAAAATAACAGTTCACTCTAGATTTGAACTGGTTAAGTTTGTAGCGATCGGGGAAGCATTCTCGTAGGAGTCGGTTTCACAAAGCAGCAGGTCAAAGTGTTCTTTTAACTTAATGTATCGATGTTTTTTTTTTTTTTTAATTTCTGAACACGGTTCAGAAATTAAAAACATCCCCATCCCTATATATAGATATATTTTTAAAAAATTCTACATATTCAGTTAAACACAAACGTGTGGGAGTGGGGTGCGTCTATAAACCTAATTATGAAAAAAAAATTATTTAAGAAAAATAATATTTTATTTTTCAAAATGTTCACCTTTTATGTCCATGCACTTAATTCACTGGTGAATGATATACGTAGAACGCTATAGCGAAATTTTTAGATCAAAGTCCAGCTAATAACTGTCTCAGATTATAGAATGATTGATCTACATGGTGTGGTTTTTCACATAAATTAATCTGTACTGTCTTTATTTATATATTGTTGAAATGACCATTTTAAAGTTGAAAATAACGTATGTAATCATTTGGAAAGGTTTAACGAATAAAGAACAAGATTATACATTTTTAAACTAATAACAAAAATCTTAACAACATAAGATATTCAGATGACACAGCATTGATAGCAGACATGGAAAGAAAACAACAAAAACTCCTCCGTCTTAGGTATGACGATAAACTACATCCGGCAGCAAGGCCTCTGATCGGGTTGAGATGAGGAGCATGGAACCACCTTTTCATTGCTATTCCCAGATCCACACTGACCCGACGTGGTACTACCAGTTAGGGCACAAGCTATGAGTAAATAGTGAACTTCAAAACAAAAACAAAACACTATGGAGGTATAAAAATACATTTTTATAATAAGAATACCAATAGATTTTAATAGTAAAAGAAAATTACCAAATCTCCCAAGAAAATTAAACTTCGTGTTTAAATGACCTATAAGGAGTTGATATGCCGTTAAACAAACAAAAAACTCCTACAGAAGTTAGTGAATGAAATTTAAAAGAAAGGACTAATTATTAATTGAAAGAAGACAGTGTGTGGTCCCAGTGTGGGCTTGTGAAACCCATAACGCAGATTCCATACTCTCCTATTGGGAACTGCCTCAGCCTTTCAGTCCTCTTCCACCTCTTCTTTCGGGTCCCGTATCTGGATCCGCTCCCGGTCTTTCTTTTTCATCACCACCTTGGCCCCTTCAAGGTTCCTACCTACAACCCATCTATCTATTCTATCCCAGAGTCGTTCGCTGGTCCGAGCCGCCTCTATGGTTGCAGCCAGGCTGACCAGTCCCCACTTCAGAACATAGCCCGTCAGGTCCCTGTCACTCAGATGAGCCTAACATGCTAATTACAAATTGGAGACATCAAAATCAAACAAAAACAAACATTTAAATATCTAGGAAGTATACTCAAAGGCTCAGTGGGATAACTAAAGATGCTTTCCAAAAGCTAAACAGAGTATTCAGAAACAGGATTTTGAAAAGGGTACTGAACTGTTACATGATATCAATCCTCCGATATGACAGTGAAGACTGGACAGTCTCCTCGCAGATAAAGAAGTGACTTGAAGCAACAGAAATGTGGTTCTACAGAAGTCTGCGGATGATACCATGGCCACGAACATGTAAGCAACGACGGAGTTTTAGAGAAAATAGAAACAAAAAAAGGAAACGTATACTTAGCAACGGAAAGTGATCGTTGAAATTTCTAGGGCATATAATGAACTTAGAAAATCTTATGCTCGTGGGACAGATTGAAGGCAAGAGAGAAAAAGGAAAACAACGCATAACATACTTAGCGAGCTTACATAAACGGACAGCGGAGCCAGGTTTAGGAGAAATAACAAAAAGAGCTACAAAAGAGAGGCTAATATGGAAAGCCATGTTTGCCTACTTCCTGAAGTAACATGGCGCATAAAGAAGACACTAATCCAGTTGTATTTTTATATATTTATTTCCGTATATGTTTTTAGAAAAACAATAAACTTACACGAGATTATCTTTGTTACTAAGACTTATCATGAATTGCTGCATCGTTCAAAAATTAATCGCTTCTTTAGGATTATGGTGGGGGGGTGATAACGGCTTATGTTAATGATAATTACTTTTTATTTTAATAAAAATGAATCTTGTAAGCAAATGTCACCTGTTTAAAATTGTTTTCTTTTGTGTTGTTTCATTATTGGATTGTTGTTTTTACATCTTTTACCCGAGGTTATAAAAAAACGAAAAACTATCTTGGGAAGGTATTAATTCATGTTAAAAATTAATGTGGTTAATCTAATTTTTATTACATACTAGATTAAAACCGAACTCCGTGTGCAATTTTAAGTTATCTCGTTCCTCTGCTCCCAAACTAAAGAGGCTTCTGATCCAGATTAGAAAACAGCAATGATAATTTTAAAGAAATAACTTTGAATTCTTCAATTCACTCTATAGAACTTCAAAAAATCACTTTAACTCTGATTCGGGGTATAGGCCCAATTCCGGCCAAAAGACAGATTTGGGCCTAAAGTTCTATTTGGGCCGAAATTCTAAATCAGGCCGAAAATTGAATTTTTCAAATCACAAGCTCTGCAGAACTTCAAACCCTTGTCACCATTCTTCTCACATTAACTCTGATTCCTTGGCATTTTGAAGAAATAAAATTAATTTCCTCTATTCATAAAGTTTTGAAGATATTTTAAACTGAATTTAAAACAAAAAATTAAATTCACAAAGTTTCTGCGTTACTTTAAACTCAATATAATTTTTTTTTTAATTTAAAATCACTAATTCTTTTCAGTTATTTTAAAAAATTCAATTCTGAATGTTCAAGCACCGGATGAAGGACAGATTTTCAATCCCGGAGTTATCCTAATTCCAATATATATATATATATATATATATATATATATATATAGAGAGAGAGAGAGAGAGAGAGAGCGAGAGAGCGAGAGCGAGCAAGCAAACAAGTGGGACCCGGGTGAGAGGGGTTTCAAACACACGGACGGACAGACAGGTAGCATTTATTTATTTAGATTATTAACATAAAGATAAAATTATTTTATTTATTAACACTTTTCAACGTTTTTCAAGTAGAAAAAAATGAACGCGAAATATTTTAGTATTTTCCCATGTTGTAGAAAGTTATTTCATGTTTTTCGTCTCAATTATTGACATTCTTTTTCCTTTTATTGTTAAATGATAGACGCAAATATGTCGTCCACCCAAAACCAGTCCATTCAACGTACTCTGGGTGGGTCCTGTGACGTGTCAGTTAAGATACACCTCAACATATTGCTGTATTACGTCAGAAAATTGTATCCAATGCCAGTTTGCTAGTCCTGACACGTAAATTACAACACCTGGCATATCTCAGTTGTCACCAAACTGATTACTGGCTAGGCTCAGCTTTGCTTAACTTCAGTCATGAGTTAGCTCGGTACAGGATTTTCACGTATGCTTAAAAATATTTTAACCGAATACATTCATAGCACAATCATTCAGCTGTAAAAGCGTTTTCATCGATCTTTCTGACTATATTTCTGAGATAAGGTTTTGTAATTATTTCAATTAATTTACAATGTTCGGACTGTTATCCTCATCTTTATTGCCATATTCCCGACGTTAAGGCAGTTGTAATGTCCGGCTTTCTTCAGGTCACTGGATTACTTCAATCAACGGTTTTATCCACTGGTCCATGTGTCCTTGAGGATAAAAGCGTTAGTTGAAGTAATCCAGTAACTTGACTCAGACACTTGTGAGTTCAATACCTGTCTACAGCAAAGGTGAAAAAAAGCTTGGGGAATTGAGTCAAAAGTGAATAACAGAGTCATGCGGAAGCAGTTATGGCACGTGGAAATAGAACAATCTACCCCGGGTGAATGAAACAAAGTGTTCGGTTCGAAAGTCCAATCCCCTGAAGAAGGCCGGAGCGTGCAACGGTCGAAACGTCGTTAATATAGCAACAAAGATGAGGATAACAGTTCAAATATTGTAATTAGTGTAACTATTTCAAAATATCGCTCATATAAACTGTCTTCCATCAAAGAACAACAAATCCATTTTTTTTAACTCGGTGAATTTTAGATATCTTAAAATTATTGTAATGACAGACCAAACAAGAAGGGGTTGTGAATGATAGTCTGAAGGCAAGAGTTCTTCATGTGGAAGAACTTACTATACCAGCACCATGGCACCATGTCTATTTGCTGCTGCTCATTTGCAATGCGAAACCGGCTATTGTCCAACAAGGAAATAATCAGCTACGTGTTTTTATCTCCCGATGCATCATTGAAACAAAACTTTTCCCACTCCAGTTCTTTGAAGTTACGGTTTGCCTAGCTTCTAAAAATTTGCAATAAACAATTTACATCGAACACCAAAAATATACTTCAATTTATTCTATCAATTGTCCTTATCTTGAATATTACAGATGTTATTATAGACACAACGGTTCAACAAGTACATGCTGACCAGTGGTTAACAGGGGCAGTAAATATTTTGTTATTTTTAACGCCTTCAAAACAAAACTACTTCCATTTAATCACCACAGAGTACCTTTTCAGCCTGCCATCAGCATGATTGATGCTAAACTCCAGGAGTGCAACACGCTAGCTCCTCGTGGCCTTAGGGTTTTCACTGACCTTAAATGGAGCGGTTATATCAAATCAATTGCTTCGTCTGCTGCAAGGAAATTCGGTTCAGTGTAGCGTGCCAGAAAGTTTTTCTCGTTAGAATCCATCTTGCTTATCTATCATTCGTCCGTACGTTGAATACTGCTGCCATATTTTGTGTTGGTACTCCTGCTGTACATGAAGAGGTTCCTGACAAAATCCAAACAAGGATCTGTGATGTAATTGATCCTGACCAGGCACCTCGACTTTAGTCACTTTCTCACTGACGTGACGCGGTTTCCTCTGTCTTTTCTACAAATATTTTAATGGCAACTGCTCTGACGAGCTTTTTTCACTGGCTCCACGACTACATGAATTTAAACATGCTATTGGATTGACAACTAGGTGATACTGATTTACTGTTGAAATTGGTAAATGCAAACGCCACTTCTACTCCAACAGTTTCTTTGCTTGTACTTCCTGATGACTACAATCTTCCCTGATAACTGCAATCTTCAAAACATTAAATGCAACGCCAATCACCATCTTCTGTCTTCTTGAACCCTGTTCATTTTTTGTCCTTTTCTCAATCCTCCTCATTTTCAATTCTTCTCATTGTCTTTCACTTTCACTCCCTGTAAACCCCTGCGTACCAGTGGCACTACGGCATTGCTTGGGGAAAAATCATTTAAAAATCACCAGGTGTCCATTTTGGGGAGCTTTTGAGACGCTTGTTGATTATTGTTCTATTTTGTCCTTATGATGTCAGTTCTTGTTTGTGTATATTGTTGCACTGTCTGATCCTAACGACCACAAGAGGATGGTAACACATGTTTAAACAGTGCCTATATCCATTAGGCCACCATTGTTTTTGGAGCTTTTAAATTCAATGTCAAATAGGTTCGATATTTAGTTATCATGGCAGGTATGTAACGATTTTTATCATTTTGTATTCCATTTTTCTTTTAGATAACGAATTTTCATTATACTTAAATTTAACTGAACTATAGTTCTCATCTTCATTATTATAGATGTTACTATAGACACTGCGTTGTGTTTTTAATAAAATCAATACCAATAATATTAAGCTGGGTACAATTAAAGGACTTGACTCTCGTTTACCAGGCCCGTTGTCTTGGGAGTAGACAACGACTTGAATAAAACGGTTAACTCAATAAGATAAGCCTAATTGAGTAAAATATAGATACAATCTCATCACAATATTTGACAAGTATAAGTCAGACTTCATGGAACAATCGGATCACAGTATTTGAGCTGTTGTTGCCTATTTATCTACCGTTAATTTTAATTAGTTTGAATATAATTACTTATTGAAGGAGTGTCGAGCTCAATGATATGTTAGGTTATATTATTTAAATTATTAGTTGTTATTCGTAGGTTTCCTTTGAAGTCATTCTTCGCCTTCGTAATTATCAACACTATAATGTGTTGATCAATTCCATTTAGTCATTGTTTATTCAAGTCGTTGTTCCTCAGCTCAAAAATGAAATACAGTATGAACACTATCAAGAACAGTAGACTTCGTTTAGGTTATTATAGGAAAGGCTATTCTTGGTCCGGTCATCATTTTCCTTGTTTTCGATCTTTTACTAAAGCCATTTTACACAGTCAGTGATAATCTTCACGGACAAGAAGTGGAGAACGTTTCAATGTTATAATATCCTTCTTCGCAATTCTTCATCAAGATCTCCT